TGTGTTCGGGCGATCGTTTAATATCAAAAATGATTGCCCGGCCGGAAAGACGATTCTCGACAACGATTTGAACGACCTTGCCTTCGGTGTTTTTTCTTGTTTTTTTTGTTTTCCTTTCACTCTGTTTTTCAAGCACAAGATAGATCCTGCTTTTGTCTATAACGTAGACAACATCGCCGAGTACTTTTTTTCGTGGCAGCGTTTTTCTTCATAGTTATTTTCTGGAATAAGTAAAACCATTTTCATGCTGGTCTTCTTCTCCAATGTTGTTCTTTTTATTTTTAGGGATTATTCGAGAATTCAAAAACAGATATGCTTGACTATTTACAAATTCGAACCACTTTTTTGTTTGCAAGCTCTGTGTTAGCTAAGTGGCATTGCAACTACTTTACTTCCTGCTTACAAGGAATGCATGTTTATTTGAAGTGGTCTTTTTAGATGTGATGTGTACCATATTGAAATAAATGTTTCCAAATCTGTCTATCTTATCTGCAGAATGTTAGCGGACAAGGAGTTGTGAGTGCTTAGTGGAGCAAAAAAGAGTGTGCAAGTAGGACAAAAATAGCCGTAATACTTTTTCTAGCTGTTCAGTGTAGCAGTGATAATCATCACTATATTCAAAAAATACTCTAAAATAAGAATTATATCACACTTGGTTGCATTATTCGAGGGTCAGTAAGATTCAGCAACTCATTTTGTTCAAAATGCACATTCAATTTTTGGTTCCAAGAACACTCACAACTCCTCTTCCACGAACGTTCTGCAGATAAAGAAAGCAGATGGAATGGAATCAGCGCTTTATGTCTTTTAATATGGCATACACCTCATTTAGAAAGGCCACTTTGACCAAACAAGCTTCCCTTATTAGTCACCTACAAATAGTTCTATATGGAGCACTCGTAATCGTCATCTTTAGCGCACAAGCAAGCTAATGGTTGCTGAATAAAGATCTCGAAATTCTATTCCCAGATCATCAGTTTTACTCAAAATTTTGTACATATAGCATAGAATCAGTCTTCTTTTGCCAAATAAGACGGCCGTGTTTGAGTGATGAAGGTCGGACGGAGGTTTACCAAGCAGTGCGTAGTGCTTGCGCCCCACGGAGTGGATTCGTTCATACTGATGGGTGCCGCCTTTACACGTTTTAGCGCAACAGTCTGCTACCTTGTCATAATCATTTTCAATACCGTACGAGAGTTGTTCAATGCTGCTCAGAGTTAGCCAAGATTCTCCGCTTGGAAGTATATCGTCTAAGCTTGTTTCTAGTATGATGCACTGATGCTTTCAAACTATACATAAATAACTCACCTAGGACCAAGAATTACTCTATATCTTTGCTTAGTTTTCTTCTATTCCTTTTTTACTAATAGTTCGCCTACCATATGTTTCCTTTTGGTTTGTTCGAATGTTTACAGCATGTGAGCTTACCAAATAAAGTAAGACTAAATAGCTATGGTAGCTCCGCATTATACCCCAAGCCCAAGACTTCAGTGTATGTACTGTAATAAATTAAACTCAGCCGCAAAAGAAGTTTTGTAAGGCAGGCACTGTGCTAAAAGGATCTGCAGATAACATAAGCTGTCTTTTAGCGGTCCCTGAAGCAGATTTTTGAAGTGTGTGCTTACTCATGTCATTACTGTCCGTGCTTGCTAATTGTTACAGAAGTACGTAATTTACTACTTACGTTGTAAGAGTTTATGTACTTCTTTTCCCGTATTTCTACAGAAAATATCTGAATGAGTGTTTAATATTAAGGCGCCTTCAACATTTTATTTAACAGCATATCAAATTTATATTCCCCTAATTCTACTTGAAAAAGTCTATCACACTCTTCGGGGCGTCAAATTTACAAATGAGGAGATCTTTGAACCTCATCCCTCCACCTGATATTGTGTCACTGCGATAAGCATACTTAGCACTTGCGCATCCAAAATCTGTCAAGTTCTCTTCTTTTATTTGCTGAAATAAGAACGTGAGGTGGTTGCACTCTTACAAAATATATGAGTTAAAAAGGTGTACGTTAAAATTCACAGCTATCTTACCTAATGTTTTGATACTGAAAGCACTTACGTGAAGTTTTACGCAACTTGGGCTTCCTTATATAAAACTCAGTTTTTGATATGTGATACGTGATGTAGGGGGATTCATTAATTTTGCAGAGAAATAAAGAAAAGCTACCAAACATCACAAACTATAAAGTGATCCAAAAATCGGGTTTCCACATTTTTGTAAAATGTGACTCTCGCCTTTTCTATCGATTTGTGTGTAGTCAGAAAATCTTTATTTTTGCACAACCAAGTATAGGCTGCGGAAAAAGTACTATGTCCCCAGTCTTGCCTCCTGAAATACCTCAGAGGCTTTACTTTCGTTTTGTGAGGGCAAGACTTCAAAGTTGATTAGAAAGAGTTTGGCTCGCAACCGCCTTTCAGGCCAGTACGCCAAATTCCCATTATCAGTTGAAAATCCGTTTTCTTCAGTAATGTCGGTAGACATAGTTTACAGACATTACTACTTTGCATAGTCAAAGGAAAGTTACTACCTTGCATAGAGACATAGTCTCTAGTGTTTGGCAGATATAAAGAGGGGGGGGATTACATAGACATGTCTACAGACGTTTAACTGAGTCGCTAATATGTCAGTATGCGCCATCGTTACAATCGTCGAGTTTCTAACAAAAAAGACGTTTTCAAAAAGAAACAAAAAATATTTTCGAGTTTTCTGTATTAATATGTACACGATGTTCTCTGGTCAAAACGCTAAAGGCACCGAAGTGTCTCCATTTAAGTGCGTATATGGAATATTTTGAAAGCAAGTATAAGTAGGAAAAAATTCAAAGAAAAAATGAAGATTTGAGTGTGTCCTCAACGTTGCCGTATCAGTCGTGCTGGTGGGTAGATCTCACTATGTCCTGGAAACTCGAGGTCTTTAAAAAGGTGCTGGAGCTTTCTTAAAAAGTTAAAAAGTGCAACAGAAATTACCCTTCATGAGTCAGCAAGCAATTGTGCATAGTATCTCTGCC